CATTTGAATCTCTTATTTTTGTTTTCTTTTTACTCATTAAAATTAAGTTTACTCTTTATTTAAATAAAATATAAATATATAAATATGTAAAGTATATAAATGTATCATATAAAATCTATACCTGTGTATAAATATACGTAATTCTCCCTTCTTCTGGTTTATTCGTTCATTCATTCATTCACACTTCAACACTGGGAATAGGGCTGCAGCAGTGGTCTATTAAGGGGAAGGGGTATTGTCATGGTTAATTTTATTTTCGACTTGGCTGGGGGAAGCCACAGAGAGCACATTATTCGGTCAAACGTTATTCTGGAAGTCGCTATAAGGGTGTTCAGGGGATGAAAGTAACATTTAAATCAGTGGCTTTTGAGTAAAGCAGGTTGTCCTCCGTATCGTGGGTGGGCCTCGCGCAATCAGTGAAAGACCTGAATACGGATCCCTCCCCGAGCGGAGCGGGAAGGAATCCTGCCAGCGCATAGCCCTTGCAGCCCACTGCCGTCTTCCTGGGGCCTCGAGCCTGCAGGCCCCCCTTGCTGGCTTTGTATTACCAAGCTCCAGAGTCCAGTGAGCCAATTCCTTAATCTAAATCAATCTCCGCCCCCCCGCCCCCCCACCCCTCACGTATATGAATGCTGTTGGCTCTTTCCCTGGAAAACCCCAACTAATAGGGGTAGGGAGGCTTCCCCCCACCCCTCCCTTCTCCCTACGGATGATCCTCCAGTTCCTCCCTGGTCTCTTCCAGCCCATCCTAAGACCCTCTTAAGAAAAACCTCTCACCGTGGAAGACTCGGTAGGAGCACAGCCCAGTCACCCTCAGGATCCAGTGTCAGGCTTCTCCGCCCTGGCCCTCTGGCCTTGCGCCGCTGGGAGCTCCAGCTTTCTAACTGCTGTCTCTACCTTTCTTTGCTTGAAGGAGCGGGGTGAGGACACCCTCTCCCCGACCAACGCAGGCACGCACTGCACGCAGAGCTGCCCTAAAAGCCTGAAGCCAATCGGTGAACAAATAGCTCAGCTCCCCACGGCCTGGGTGGGAAAACCGAGGCACGTGTTTTATCCCGTTCACCTGCGTTCTGGGTGGGGTTAGGTGCCGGTTTCCTGTTGTGGAATTTACTTGTACTTCCCCCAACGACACACTCAAAGCCTGGCCTTGGGATCTGCTACCCAAATAAAGACCTCTCGCAGCTCCCAAACTACTGCTGTTCATTCACCCAGCAAAATAGGGGTTGACAGAAACAGTAAACTAGGGGATGGACAGGAAGTTACGCTTCACTTTTCTAATCGGCAGAGGCTGAACGCGCTGTTCGTGAAATGTGACTATTGTGTGGACTCTGCGGCATTCTCCGAGCATGGGGGTGGGGTGTGTGGCCCAAAGAGACCTGCGGGGAGTGCAAAACTTCCAGTGTCCCATGTTTCATCCTACAGGTTCGTGTGAGGTTTGCATTCTGTCGCGTGATCTACCCTGTTTTACCACCCACCCTCCCACCCTACGTGCCTCCAGCAATCTTTGATTTTCCAGGATGATGCATACATGTTTATCTTGGGGCTTCATGCATAGCAACATTGCTATTTGGGAGGCATTGGCCCTGGGTACTGTAGAATTGACCCCTGGATTAGGCCAGACTGGAGACTGGTATTCCTACACTTGGAGTTTTGGGTGCTTTGTCCGAAACTTTTACTGTGTGGCCTTGGAGTTGTGAGACTGCCCCAAGAGGAAGAATACAGTAAGACACGCATGTCCAGAACTGGCCATGATTGCGTGATACAACCTAAGACCCAACATAATAAAAATAACGAGGGTGGGAGAAAATTCTGGAATAACCTTCCCCCTTAGGGACATTCGGAATCAAATTGCATAGCAGGCAGATCTTGTGCCCCACAGCAGACCCTGGCAAGCAGAGGAACCCTGTCAGCATGTGGTGAACGCCGCCCTCACTCGCGGCTTTGTCTTTCCTATTTAGATATTTCCCTTTGTTCATTTCCCTACTGACCTTCTTTTTTATTTAAGATTTTATTTACTTTTAGAGAGAGGGGAAGGGAGGGAGAAAGAGAGAAACATCGATGTATGGGAGATACATGTATTGGTTACTTCTTGCACTTCCCCAAAGGGCCTGAAACCCAGGCATGTGCCCTGACCAGAATCAAACCAATGACCTTTCAGTTCGCATTCCAGCACTCAACCCACTGAGCAATACTAGCCAGGCCCAGGTTTTCTTAATTACACTCCATATATATTGTAGGCAGCCTTAAATCCTTCCCAGAACAAAGCAGGGTATGAATCAGAAGGGATGGGGCAGGCACTGATTGTCCACTGGGCACACTACGGCACATTCTGGGAAACAGAGGTCCTGCCTGTTTGCACCGCTTTGGGTATCACAAAAAGTGCTGGAGCCAGATGACAGCCCGGCTCTTGCTGGAAAGCCTCCTCTTTCCCAGTCCCTGGATTTGCAAAAGGGCTCATTCCTGTATTTAAAGGGCATAAGCAAACTGAATCATCATGTAATTAGTGTATTTTTTTCTATCCACAAGAGGTCGCTTTTACTTATGAAATACAGATTTGAGGGAGTGCCTTGAGGACTGCTCAGAAACGCAAGGTACTGCACTAAGTGGTTTATGATTTACAGCACCCATATTGATACACAACCAAGGATATAGCTGGAGTATAACTCAGTTATGAGTAAGTTGAGTTTATAATGCAACTAAAACAAGCTTAACACTTTTGTGTCAACTCATACTATTTAGGATCGTGAATGAAACCAAGACTTTTTTCCTAAATTCAGTGTACTTTTGATTCACACAAGCCTAAATTCCTAGGCTGTCTTGCTTAAACTGTAAATATATTTTAACGTTTAAAGAGTGAATATGGAAGTATAAACTGATCCAACTTTTCTAGGCAGCAACTGGCAATAAACATGAAGAGGCTTAAAAATGTTGCTATGGATTTGCTCATCAATTCCACTTCTGAGAACCTACCTGCAGAGAAGAGCTGAATGATGATCACTAATGTCCAAAAATAGATGATATACAAAGAGGTATATTTCATGTAAAAGAGGCAAAGGTCTAGAAACAATCCAAATAGCCAACATGGCAGAGCTGTCTACTTATGAAGCAGTCACACAATGTATTATTTTACAGTTATTAACAATGATGTTTGCATGAGTTCTAACTACCTGAGAGAAATGTTCATGACAGTGTTAAATAAAAAAGGTAAAAAACGGAACTGCAAATATAATGCACACAGACATCCACAAAATATGTAATTGGAGAAAATCTGAGAGATGGGGTTATGGGTAATTTTCTTCTTTTTTTTTAATATGTCTCCATTTGTCAATGTTCAGCAATGGGCATGAGCATGTCCTCACTTTAGTGATTAGTAATTGAAATAAAAGTTGCATTAAAAAATAGGAATTAGGCCTTCCTGCTTCCGGCCTGGTGCCTCCCTTTTCTAAGACCTCTACAGAGATGTTTGATAGAAAGTCTTGGGCTGAGTATGTTGTGGAATGGGCTGCAAAGGACCCATATGGCTTCCTTACAACAGTTATTTTGGCCCTTACGCCATTGTTTCTAGCAAGTGCTGTAATGTCCTGGATATTGGCCAAGATGATTGAGGCCAGGGAAAAGAAGCAAAAGAAAAAACAAAAACGTCAAGAAAATATTGCAAAAGCTAAACGACTAAAAAAGGACTGAAGGAATGAACAGGCTCTGGCACCATACAAAACGTATTTGGGAAATTATGCAGCTTTGGAAGGACCCTCTAAGGTTTCTTTTCTGGATTTATGACTACTCAGTAAACAGTCTGAGCATAAGGAAGATTCATGTTCGTTCTGACCCTTACTATAGCAACTTAGGCTTCAGTATAGAAGTCTGTTGACAGTTATGTAAATTGGCGGTTATTATGCTACAGATTCTTTAGTCACTTGCCATTTTGCAGTTTATGTCCTGAAATGTAAACACTGTGGGGGAAAAAAATGACTTCAGATTATGAACTCTGTTCAAATATTGGCTCAAAATGGAATCCTGTTCTGGACAAAGGAAACTAAGAATGTAAAAGTGAGAGTTATCCTGAGGTGAAAAGTGTGCTTTGGCTTAAAAGAGATCCAATACATTAATTACATCTTTTATCATTATTGCTTATTTCTTAGAATCACTTCTGCTTTCCTCAAAGCAAAATATTATTAATCAATGAGTACTTCAATTTTCTGCATTTTTCTTATTTTAGCTTTTGAGATACTGGTAATTATCAGATATTCTGCCTTTTCAAAATCTAATTTTATAAAAATTATCCTAGTATCTTGACTATATGGAATACCACCTACTGGATATAACAGTTTTTGTACTTATGAACACTGCCATTTACTTAGAGATGACTTGTTGAATAGAGTAACACTGATTTAAAGCTTGCAATAAAAATGCCAAACCTTGTAGGGCTTTGGAACCAGTTTATTCTTTCTTATACTAAGTAGAAATGTATAGTAGTTAAAATGTCTTATCTGATAATTTGCTGATTATATAGATACCACTTTTATTTTTTTATTTTTATATTTGTTTTAACTCATGGTAGTGATGTCCTAGACCAAACAAGTTCATAGTGAAAATTAAAATACCAAATTTCCTTTAAGGAACTCTTAAAGAGTGAGTCATATTTCATAAGTGGTAAAGAAAGGCTTAACATTTGGAAAAATTTTGTTTGGCATAGTAGTAATTGGGTGAAAAAGAGAAATTATGTCAAAATGAGAATGTGTTGTAATTAGAAATAAAAAGATAAAGGATAGTTCCTTTAGTTAAGTATAACTGGAACCTTTCCCTATGAAATATGGCTTTTATAAATATATGGCCCAATAATTTTACTCACTGTTAGTACTTAATAGCTTATTGATATTTTCTCATCTCTGATAATGAATTGTAAATTACAGAAATTGTCCAGGACCTTTAATTTAAAAATGAAATAAATTTGATACTTTTTTATAAAAAAAAAAAGAATTAGTGCAGAAATCCACCACAAATTATTGATTGCAATGTCTTCCTTTTTATTAAATTATAAAACTGTTGTCCATAAACACACTTTTGGAAATACAATGTTTTTTTCGAGTGTCTGCTTTTGTGGAGCACAAAAATTTCTATGTCGATTTGTTGGTCTTCAAGCTATTTAGCACTGGTAGCCAAACTACCAAGAATAGCTATTGTATATAGTCAGAATTTATCGAAAATATTACAAAGACAAATGCCTTGAAAAGATGACACAGTGCAGAGAAAACCATAGCTATTAAACTGGTATAAAAATTTAGTCAAAACATTTTAGTCCATTATGGCTTTGCATAAAGCTTCAAAGAAAATTTAAGCCACTTCTGATCAAAGGCACTTAGAGTTGTAATAAAATACTTCTTTGAATTTAGTTGGAGTCCAACAGTTATTTTTATTCCTTTTTTTCACATTCTGTCTCACGCTGAAATAGTCCTTGAATACAGCTATTAATGAAAAATAGTTATCACTTCTTAATATACATGTTAAAAATATGCAAACAGAATTAATACAGATTTTGGTCCACTGAAGCAGGCAACACTATCAGACTGTAGTGTTTCTCTTAATTCTGAGCAAAAAGCCACCAACTCCCCAGACCCAGTCCTACAAATAGAACTTTCAGCCCTGAATCTGCGTTGGTTGTCCCCTGCTCTCCCCACGAGGCAATGGGAGCTCAGGTGCACCACATCTCCACAGTGCATTTTAACCGGAAAGAACCAACCCACGGCTCCGCGGGAGTGTTGCTCTGAGGTGGCGACAGCAGGGTACAGAAGAGTCCATTCTCAAGACACCTATAATTCCGTGTCCCGGTATTGGGAAGGCTGGCCGTAGTAACCGCGCTTTGAGTGTTCAGACAGCTGCTGGCGGTATTCTTCCTCTTCCACGTCACTGCCATAACTTCCTCTGGCATCTTGATAGAGTCTGGAAGGACCTTTCTGTGGCTCGGGGGGTCTGTAACTTAAAGAGTAAGAGGGCTACAGGCACAGCAGGCAGTCACCCAAGATAGACTGCTTATCCCTGGGCCACTCTGTGCCACCAAACCAGGGACACTCCTGGTCCCGCTGCAGGTCCACAGAGCGATAGGATCGGAATGCGAGTAACAGGCCAAGGCTGATGCCCGCTTGGGTAGCAAGGGAAGAAGACATCCAAGGGCTCCCTGACTTACAAACTCCCCAGTTGGGCAAGAGGCTGCCCTCCCCACCCCTAACTTCATTGGCTACAAATGCCACTGTGTGTCACAAAGAAATTTGCCCCTAGTTTTCTGTTGCTTTAAACCTAGACTCTACCTTCCAGTCAGAATAGCCACAAGAAATGTGATTTATTTTCTTCCTATTCTCGGAAGCAGGAAAGGAGCCAGTGTTAAAACCTCAACAGGAAGACCCTGTGGTAATTCCTAGTGCTTATGCAGCATTTTTAAAATGCAGTATCTTTCCGACACCAGTCAATTGATTGCCATCTTCCCTCTGGAGCACAGTGCAGCACAAATGGCCTGACTTTGCTGGGTGATGCAAAGGCGTTAAGGAGCTTGGCTAAAAGCCAGAAAATAGCAACAAACTAGGTCTAGGCCCCAGGAATTCTGCTCATGTACTATCCCAACACAATTTAAAATATCTGTGCTCCAGTGTGTCAAGGGAAATTGAGTCGAAATGCCAATGATTATAATGTCAGAGAGGTTAAGCACATGGGCAAAATTACCATGAAATTTGACTCTTATCTTTACAATTAAATTTGTCCAAATAAGTAAGTTAAACCGTTGACTGGGGTGGGGAGGGCAGTGTGCGGAGGTGGCCACCAGTCTTCTTTCCACTCTGAAATGTAAATGAAGGAAATTCTTTCCTGGGAGTCTAAGTCCTGGGTTAGCCTCTCTTACAGACCTGTGCCTGCTGAGCAACCCTTACCTTGTGTACTGGGGTGAGCCAGGGTCTGGCTTGTGGGTTTTGATTGGAACTGCATAGATATCAGGATGCTTCTGAGCAATTTCAATCTGTGGTGATTAAGGAAAAAACAGAGTAAGAGAGAAAGAATAAACCACTGGACAGCCAGCTTGCCGGTTTCCATCTTCCAATTCCATTTTAAGGGGAAGAAGAAAAATAGAAACGGCTCTCTAGTTTTCATGATCTTGTGTAATGCTTAGTGGTACAAGTCAAATAGGAAAAACGTTTTAGGCAATGAAATTCTACCACATGCTACAACATGGATGAACCTGGAGGACATTACACTAAGTGAAGTAAGCCAGTTACCGAAAAAGGTAAGTTACATAACTCCACTTATATAAGGTTGCTAGTATAGTCAAAATACCAGAGGAAAAAATCGAATGGTTACTAGGGGGCAATGGAGGTGTGTGAAGTGGAGAATAATTGTTTAATAGTTTAATAGGTACAGGGTTTCGGTTGGGAAGGATGAAAAATTCTGGAGATGGACGGTGGAGATAGTTGTACAAGAATGTGAATGTACTTAATGTCAATGGACACTTAGAAATGCTTAAAGTGGTAAATTTTATGTTATATACATTTTATCACAATAAAAAAAGAAAAAATGTTAAGTAGCACTGCTGCTGTTACGGCAGACTTAAATGAAAAAAAAAAAACCCATAGCCACTGGCAGAATATGCTCCACAGGCTTGTATCTAAGTTCTTCTTTGACTTTCAAAAGGTTATGTTTGCACATGGTACAGAAATACAAATGTTATCAAAAAGTACCACCCTGGCCAGTGTGGCTCAGTGTGGCTCAGAGCGGCATCCCATTCTCCGAAAAGCCGCAAGTTTGGTTTCTAGTCAGGGCACATGCCTAGGTTGCGGGCTGGGTCCCCAGTTGGGGCGGGTATAAGAGGCAACGGATCCATGTTTCTCTCTCACATCAATATTCATCTCCCTTTCTCCCCCTCCCTTCCTCTCTCTCTAAAATCAATAAGCATGTCTTCGGGTGAGGGTTAAAAAAAAAAAAGTACAATCTACAGGCCTCTCAATTTCAGAACCCAAGGTCTGCTAGGTTTCTATGGCAAATCTGGGAGCAAATTAAAACTCAGCTACCAAAGAAACATAACAAATGTTTTAATGAAAAATAACTTCCCAAAGGCACTGATTCTCTCGTCACACCTCCCCACTCCAGAACCGGATATAAGGTTCTGAAGTACAAAAAGAAGAATCTTATTCGCCTATATTGCTAGGCTTTCTTGATTATAAGAAAAAAGGGAGGCACAAATAGCCAACTATTTGGGAACGACACACACACAGAGGACGTGACGTGCCTTTGGTATCATGCACATGAACATCCTTTTTATGTTTATACAGTGGGAAAAGGGCTGCAAGTCATTTTAATTAAATGAAACATTTCAAATTCTCATTGATGACATACAAAAATAATCCAGTGGGTTAAAAACAATTACCCTTGCATTCTGTGCTTCTTGGAGCTCTTGCATTCTCTGTAATCTTGCCTTGTGATCCATCTTCTCAAATATTTTTACTTTGCCCAGGACAGACTTGGGCGTGTTATCTTGCTCCACACTGTCCTCTCCTGCCTCCTCATTCTCCGGGGGAGGGACAGGAGTAGAGGGCTTCAGTATGGGCTTGCAAAAGGCAGGTTTTGCTGCAACAGGAGGCGGATGGCCCTTGGCAGAGGCCCCGGGAATTTCGTTACCAGCAATAGCCGAGGGAGAGTTTGACTTGTATTCATAGGATCTGGAGTAGTCAAAGGACTCTTCTCTGTTCTGGGTTCTGGCCTGCAAAGAGCAGTGACATATTTTTACCTTAGGCTTTTGTTTTGTTTTCACATCAGTATTAGTGATTTAATACACTCCATTTCCTGATCAGTTTCCATAGGTGGTCAGCAAATACCATTCCAACAGTCAAATATGGGAGGGAGAACAGCCACTGGCTGGGTACTGTGATCCCTTCCTCACTTCCTGCATAAGAGTTTTAAGAGCTCTGGAAACCAAGAGGGTGCTGGGGAAGTGCTCGGAGCCCTGCAAGTGCTAGAGATACATCAGACCTCATTTCACCCCACAGGAGATGCAAATTTTGGAGGAGACCTCAGAATCAGTCAGGCTTCAGGATCGAAGAGCAGGCTCCCGAGTTCACACCACACCAGGGTCCACACCCTGGTGCGGAGGTGAGGCCCATGTCCAGCCATGAAGGATGGGGGGCCTAGGGAACGGGGAGGCACATCACGCTAATGGCCACTTTCCCTTCCCACTTCGATCTTAGGCCTGCTTGTAAATTTTCACTGATGTATTTTAAGAGGTCATTAATTACTTCTGAAACTCACACAGTCATTACTTTCTATTGAGTTAAATAGACAGGTTTTATTAGGTTATGCGGAAAAGCCTATCTATTAGTCATAGCTTTGATTCAGAGAAGAGATAAAGAATCATATGACATATGTCCATGAGTTCTTGTGCTGATTTTGTACTGGATAATGATTTGCTTAAAAAAATAAATTAAGCTTCCTCACAATGAGAAGCATTATAAACAACGGTGTGATGGTGGTTTTCTTTAGCAAATCATCAGTAAGGATTTTTCTGGTCCATCTAAATCAGATTGTGGGCAGAAAACTCTAATTGGACAGAAAAAGAAAAACAGAGTCTGAGTTTGGTGATTTTGGGCATGCAGTATTTATCAAACTTTTCTCTTCCTACTACATCAATTAATTTAAAAATATTAACTGTATTAAAATTGTACATTCTCCTAAAACTTCCTTTCTATCCTTCCTATTTTTTCCCTTCCCAAATTTTTGGGTTCACCCAACAGGACAAAAGGCAGGTTCTCATGGAGAAACAGTGAGTCAAAACCACAATTTGACACCGTCTCATTATGCGTGCTCTCCCCTGGGTATGCAGAGGGCTCCAGGGATGTCTGCTTCCTCCTCCTTCCCATCCTTGGCCTCCCAGCCACATACCTTGGGCGGCTCTGGTTTGAATGCTGGAGGCGGGCTATTGTCCCTAAGTTGATCTCTGCTAGTAGCCCTCCTCATCTGAGCTCGTGGCTCTGGGCTGGGTCTCCTTATGCTCTACAAGACATAAAGGTTTATTCACAACAAGAACATCGCAGCAGAGAGAAAAGAGTGCTTGTCTGCTTTGCTGGAGTTCCAAGGACTTGCGTAAGTTCAGAATTTGAGGTTCACAACTTGCATAAAAGTCCCTATCGTGCATAAGCTGAGATGCTGACCCAGTGCTTCTTTACTGAAAAGGCAGAAACCTGGCCTACTCCCATGAGCAAATGCCTAAGATCAAGTGTTTTAAACTAGATGCATCCGTGGTAGTAGTCTCTTTCTTTAAAGTACAAAAGAAAAAGTCTAAAATCTAAAGTCTAAAATCTCTTTTGTCACTCAAAGTATTTAACATTTTTAAGCATTAGCTATCTATATCTATAGACATTAAGGAGTTAATTTATTCTTTACAACTTGTCCAGTGGTATGTACTAATATATTTTTTTTTGTCATGGCGGGTTTTATCCCCCTCCTTCACCTTCAATTTTGGCACTTCTATTTTATAAAGAATAAAATCATTCACTGAATGGAGCTACGTTGCTAAAGGGAAGTTCATAGCAATCATTACCCAAACACATGGATAATAATCTCCTCTATTGTACGGAGATCATTATCCCAATGTTCTCTGAGGTGCAACAAATAATTGCTCTGGTCCTAACTTAGGGTGTGTTGACGTGATTTCTAGGATCACAGAAGCTGTCTGTTCACGGGCCAGTGGATGCAGAGTGCACATGATCAGACATGTATTTGATCATGAACTCAATTCAAAAATTAAAATACAAGAGAGAAGGAAACTGATGGGGAAACACTCAGGAGCTTTGGCAAGATCAGAAAGGTTAAAGGGAGGATGGAGAAGAAAAAGCAGAGATATCTAAGAGTACAGAGAGAGAGGCCTAATCAAAGGTTACAAGTAAATACAATAATATTGTATTTAAAAAATAACATTCCACCTATAATTTGGACAGCCAGCCCACGAAGCTGCTCAGTTTATCCATCATACCCCAGGACACTTAGTTCCTGTCCTGCTTTCCCAAGGACCACTGCCACAATCACGCAGGCACTGGCGTGGCATGAGAGACTCCCTACCAGTTATCTGTTTCAACCCTCAGGAATACCTTCCGCAGCGCCCTGAATTAACAGCTGTCCAGAGGAGTTCCAGTGAAACACCGGAGCCTCCGTCTCCTGCCCGTGGCCTCGCGGCCTGTGGCCTGCCTCGCCTCACCTCCTCATGCTGCACCGGCTCCGAGGAGCGGGTGATGGAAGACACCAGCGGCTCCTCGGCCGGCTCATCCAGCTCATTGTCAGTGTAGGCGCCTCCTTCGCCGTCGGTGTCTTCAAAGTCACTGATGAGGCGGCTGTCGCAACTCAGATAGTCCGCGCCCATGGCGGTTAAGTAGGACATGCGGTCTTCAGGGTCATCATCCAACCCTTCCATCTAGAGGAATGTGTTTTGGAGGGTCAGTGGGGTGTGACATGGCTCCTGGGAGTGGGGACTCAAGAAAATTCCCAAGGGCACAGCCAAGTGACTGACAGCTTCATGTGTTCTACAAAGGGAAGTCAACCTTATTTTCCTGAAATCACTTGGCTTTCTGTTCATTTTGGCCAGGGACTCAAATGAGGACGCCTTCACCCTATCTATCCTTGCCACCATCTATCTTATATAGAGCTACTGAGTCATGCTTCCTTAGACTGTTGTGCGCTGTCTTCCAGAATCTGGTTTCTCTTCAGCTTCTTCTGCAGGTACTTGTCTCCTAGTAATAAATGCACGCTGCCTTGTGCTGCGCACCTCTTCACTCAGCCACAAGACTGAAATCCTTGCGGGCAGAAGCTCTGTTCTGTTCAACTTGTCACCACGGAAGCTAGCACAGAGCCGTAGCAGGCTGTAAGCACTCAGGAGATCCTAGACACCTTGACTAAACATGCAGTTCCCAAAGAGCAAGACTCGGGCTCACCAATCTCATTGGCAACTGACTCACTTCCACAACGACACTGGCCCTCTAAGCTACCTCGATTCGGCTAGACTACGGAAGACTATCACCAAAGGCTCCCAGAACCACAGGAAATTATATACTGTCTCTGCATCCTCCCTGCGCAGAGCCATGCATACACTATGACCTAGGATGAGAAGCTAGCCAATTTTAGAAGTCTACACCAGTTTCCTAATGCCCCCTTATCACCTACTCGAATGCCTAGGGCCTGTTCTCTGCCAATCTTTAAGCAAATGATTCCACCTCCATTTGCTTTTCTTCTTTCTATTAATTTTTAACCATATTTTCTATGCTCCTCAACTTCACCTCTCACCTCCACTCTGAGTTTCCCCATCCTCAGGAAGCTGTGGAGCTCAGCTCGAGATCTTGTAAGCTCTGATTAGTGTGCTTGGAATACAATACTAGTTACTACGTTAAAAGTAAAAGGGAAGTGAATGTAGGGTTGCATGTATCACATTCTGCTTTTCTTCTAAAAGCCCCTTCGCTTTATTACTTTTTCAGAGAATTTATAAAATTGCAAACTTGATTAGCACGTATGTTGGAATTCCTTCAAATGGGCATGGCTTTACTACATTCACTACCCTCTTGAGAGAAGATTCAAAACACGGACTCTCACCTCGCAGCAGAGTATCTATGCCACATACCTTCCCTTCGGAGACCCAAACTGCTTCTCCTTGCTGATGCTGAATTGTGTCTTTCAAGCTGCCAAACCAGCTATCATTGGCTGCATTTAGGTTGATTGTAGCTATAGAAAGGTAGGCAAAAGGTTTGCATCAATTTCCAAAGCAATTTATTAACATAATTCACACTCATTTTTGCCATATCTGAATTAAAACTGGCAAATGCAAGAGAAAGTTGGCACATATTTGAATACTAAATGCCTTTAGTTTCCATTACAAATGGATGTTATAAACCTGAAGATGGGCGAATTTCATTTCAGAATGAGTATCTTTCAGAAAAGCTACCTTTACAAATATGCTTTCACAGAGTGTATTTTCAGGAGCAAAGAAAACACACCTACAACAGATATAAAAGTACCGTATTTTAAAGACCATTGCATAGACATAGATATTATAAGTATGCAGTAGTGTGCTGTTGGTTACCTCTAATAAATTACTGAAGATAATATTTAAATGTATATCATTTTGACAGGCTTAAATATTTTAAAATATACATACAAATTAACCAAGCTCTATTAAGTATACATTCAAGTAATATACATTTTTTATAGAGAACAAAATATCTGACATAACAGCACTACCTATGGATTGACCAGGCGTTTTACAAATACTGTACATGGATTACCTCACTTCATGCTCACACAAATGTTGTGAGGTCAGTATTGCCATCATCCCCCTATTTCAGGAGAGAAACTAGGGCACAGCAGTGAAACGAGCCCAAAGCCTCACGCCAAAGAAGAAGCCTAGATGCAAACTCAGAAGTTTGCAGCCCATGACCTTAGTCACTGCACGGCACAGCCCACCGAACACCGAGACTGTAGGGCACCGACAGTAAATGCCAACCAAGTAAAACATATGCAAATCATTCTTCAGTAATATGTATTTATGGCTCTAATGGGGATAAGATGACAAGCAAATTGGTCCCAATTAATACATTAAATCAGACCTAAAACAATCAAGCCGCAGGCAAATTAGGATTTAAAAAAAAAAAAAAGCCTACAATGTCATAGCCTTTTCTTAGAGGGCACGGCGTTCTACGTAACCCCTGAAAGGACAGCGGGGCTTCTTGGTAAAAGGGACCCAGCACCCCGCTCCATCTAGCCAGAGGTCTCCACAGTTCTCTACAGACAGCCAAAGAACCATTAAGCAAATTTTATAAGCAACTATGCTTCAAGTTTTCTTCCTAGTAATGTATCCCCTTCTTTCATTTAAGAAGTTCTAACATTGACCTTGGAAAGTCCTGAGTGAGCTTACAATTTCTCTGGTTATTAATTATTTATAGCATTAGAATAAACTGATACATTGGACAACTCAAAAAAAAATTAACCTTGATTCCTTGGACTTTTGCATCCTTATGGTACTCTGCCAACGTTACTTTGCTCTTGGGTAAAACATGATGCCACAGTACTTAAATGTGGAAGTGAGACTGCACACCCAGAGACAACAGGAGGGATGTGCACTAATGTATACAGAACATTACGCTGCCTTTCTGAGCTTTTAGTAGCAGCTGTATGAAATAAGTATAGTCTGCATTTACCACGAGAAAAACCTAGTTAAAATTGCTGTTTAGGAAATGCAGAAGATATGTTTGTGCCCTTTCATAAAATGAAAAGAAGGTCATAAAACTTCTTAACTAAATTCATACTGAGTCAAGTATATGAAAGAAGAAGAAGAAGAAAGAAGAACTTCACTGTAGCTAATTTCCTAAGTCCATACCAAGGTAACATCAAAGTTGGTAACATTCATCTCATGCACTTGACCTCTTTTTAATGGGTAGGTGCACAACTATGATGTCACCCTTCCTTTATTCGGAATCAGGACCGCGGGTTTACTGTTGGCTTATGCTCATTAGGTTTCTCAGACTCTTTGATTCTTGAGCAATATTAGTCGATTCTTGTTGCTCCGCACCCTCTAGACTAGACCTATGTTCCCTTGGGTAAGCTTGGCACATTTCTCAAACTTAAGAAAGTGAAATATTGACAGGATCATACTCAGCCTGTCTCTGCCCTTGCGGGGACTCCTGGGATTCTGAGGGCATCCATTCCCAGCCTTGGCACAGTGTGTTCACTACTCCCTGCCCAGCCAAGAAGGCTGCGAAGTACTGAGAGCAACAGCAAAAGTGACATGGAAGGCTGGGGGGTGGAGAGGTGCTGGGTGGAGGAGAAAGTGGAACGACTGCTAATGGGTATGGGGTTTCTTTTTGAGATGATGAAACTGTCCTAAAATTCACTGTGGTGATGGCTATACAACTCTGAGTATAATACAACCCACTACATTTTACATTTTAAATGGGTGAATTGTAGGCTATGTACATTAAATCGCAATTAAGCTATTCAGGTGGCAGGGATTCCCTCTAAACCCACAAGCGTCAACCAAGGGGCCCAGCCAGACGACACAGCACCTTCCACTAGCATCCTGTCTCTACGATGCCCTGGGAAACCGAAAATTGCCTACTGCAATTTCTCAGCTGGCACAAGATCCACTTCTCCCCCGCAAGCCTTTTCAATGACAAAGAATTATTATTTTTTTTAACAACATGTAACATTGAAAGATAATACAGTAAGCATAAAGCAATAGTACTAATAATGATCAGGAGCATTTATTCAGTACTTCCAAAGTCCCTGGGCTGAACTGTACAGATTTCACAGTAATGAAACCTGTGAAAGCTGATAAAAGTGCCCAAATATCCTGCGGTACTTTAACAAGCCCATAGTTTCACATGAACGGTGGTCCTGCTTGGGTCTCTACGTCCACGATTCCATTTCAGTGGCCTACAAGCCATGAACTGAGTGAGTACTTTAGGAATTCCAAAGAAAACGTGGCATTCAAACTTTACATTTTAAAAAGTAACTTTTTTGACATGGACATGAAAATGTATCCTATAATAAATTCTTTTTAATGGGGAGGTGAAGGGACAGCCTAACATTTTAACTTACGTTGACAAGATAACTGGCTTTAGGCAAATCTCAGGATAAAGCTCCCCTTGTCATCTGCACTTAACTGAGGAGGCCCTGGAGTCTACAAGGACAACCCCTTTAATATCGTCATAATTAAATACTCATCTCTAGGACAGGATTTTCTTGTGACTGTAGCACAAGGAAAAAGAAGGATATTGAGCCTAGTGACACTCACTACAGGCAATATGACCCCTGATTTTGAACAATGTGCTCATCAACGCAGCTCTACTATTCCTATTTATTGATTCATAAAAAGCCTCTGATTCTGGCCACAACACATACAATTGAGTCACAACCTGGCCAGGCTGAGTGAAAACACGGGGAACAGGTAGCACTGAGGGCGACCATCCGCGCAGCTTTGAACAATACTGTAAAAAGGCCATGTGGTGGCCACCGGGGCTTGTGGGCAACGGTTATTCGGGACTCCGCCCCATCTGCCCTTAAAGACTGCACGCTTCCACGGCGGAGGCTGGCAACACATGGCAAGCACGGGTCACTTCGAAGTTCTAGATGAAATCAGATGTTCACAGTGTCTACATTTCCACTCCAGCTTCTGACTTAGTCACCCTAAAACCTTCAACTTCTTGATTAGCTCAGGCAAGGAATGGTATGATGTGCCAGAAGCAGTGCTGATTAAGTCACAAAGAGCTATGCCTTGCCCACTGGCGAGGTCCAGGGCTGGCCTTCAGCACACGGAGCTGGGTAAAGTACAGGCCTTGCCTTTAAGGATCTCATGATTTATCAGTGGAGCCCAGTTCCGTTGTTAAACCCTCTGCACATGGGCTCCTCAAAATCCTTTACTAGGTCCATCCAGCTCTTGAGGGCTGTGCTCCAAAGAGCAAACGAGGCTGACTCAGGGCAGAGGAAGGGAGCACCCCGGGGTCACTGGCTCCTACTTCTGCCCTGCCCCCCCCTTCATCCAGCCGCCTGCAGCCTGGTTCTTCCTCCATACTCGTTAGTCCCTGTCCTGGTATCTCGTACCCTCACATGAAGCCCAGATTCAGCTCCCTGAGGGAAGCCATAGCCATTCAATGGACTTGAGGCTGACTCTGCAGAGGAGGGGAAGGAAGGATGAGGCAGGCATAGGCTGAATATGTCACAGTCACCTGGGCCTCAGTTAAACGCATCAATTATCCACCAAATGGAGGAACTGCACTAGGTGACCCCTTCCAACATTAGAAAAATAAGTCTGTGTTGTAACAAATGGAGAATATTGGACACACATTCAAAGACACCATAGTTTTAGTATGAGCTCCAACATATACTAGAAGTCTGACCTTGCAGAAGTCGCCTGGTCTTTCTTATGGCCCAAAAAGACAGAGCCCAGGAAAGACTGAACCACTGTTAGCTACTACTATCCTAAAAAGAGTAACAATAATTATTATTGTTATATTATTATTACTATTAGTAGTAGTACTAAAAGTGACAGAGGAAAGATTATACATGAATATATTAAAACCACAAGCTCTTATGACTCTGCACTCACAAACTCCAGTGTATGATGGAACACTCACTCCATCCTTTGCATTTGACTAAATTACCTCTCAGTTACAGCATTTTGCCTCTGTGGTAGTAGTACAGCTCACTCTTTAACAAGAAGAGCCAGTGACAGTAAAACAAGATTCTAATGTGGACATTCACACACCCCTTCCTCCCTCCTCAGTTTCAGGGATGCTAAATATGACACAGGTTGACAATGACTGGCGCTGAACTCAAAAGAGCTATTATTATCATAAGGATATTACATCCAGATAGCCTCCTCATGTGGCTCCCAGAAACTTGCATGACCGAAACATTATGTAACCCTCTTAAACCCTTAATGATACCATGTTCACAGAACTAGTCATTTATACAGGTAGTGCATATAATCAGTCATTAAACATGCCACATTGTTAAACCATTTTACTTTCATGAGTTAACAGTAGCAATGGTCTTCCTTTCAGGGGTTTTAAAAATATTCTATTATGGATAATTTAAACATACACTAAAGTAGAGAGAACGGTTTCATGAACTCCCATGTATACATGTCAGTCTTGTCTTGCCTTTACCCCACCCACTTTCCTCATTGAAGATTATTTAAGCAAATTCCAGACATCATGTTATATCATCTATACATATACAGGGTTGGGCAAAAGTAGGTTTACAGTTGTGAGTACACGGCACAGTTTATTTTTGTATTATTATAATCACAGCCGGCATGTCTTCCTTCATACAAACAACTGTAAACCTACTTTTGCCCACCCATGTCTATTAGGTCATTCATAACTATTTTGTTTAGTAAACATTCCTAAAAGACATGTACTCTTTTAAATAACATAATCACAACAACATCCTAAAAACACGAATAATAAATCTTTAGTATCACCCATTATCCAGAGTGTTCAAGTTTCCACTATGGGGGCATTTTTAAGTCACGAAACCAAGTCCCTATCACTCTGTAAGTCAGTGCATGCATGAATGGTAGGCAGAGAACAATGAGACAATCTATACAGAGAGGTGGGCGCTAGGTGGTATGCTAGGCTCAATCACCAGCCTTGCAGTCCCACAGAGAAATTGGAACCCCATCAAAATGACCAATTATTGCATGTTATGGATCTTTATGGCCATTTTCAAACGGTCATAATAAAATATACAAAAGCCATGATTCTAATACACACATTTTGTAGGATTAGCTACCCTTCAGAGAGTTGTGAGCAGTATTTCAGATTACTGTCTCTATTACTATTCAGATTATTATTTCGTTCATTTTTAAATTCTCCAATTCTCACTTTGGAGCAAGGAGGCTACATTTTAAATTTCACTTACCTGTAAAAAGATGTGCACAAGTTTTTTTAAGCTTGTTGGCTTGATCATACAACTTTCGAGAACTCTTGTTGGACGTTGGATTCAACCTCTGTCTCATGGTTTTGACACCTTGTCTAGAGTCTGGGTTGAAAAAAATCACAATCGGGAACCACTGAGTATAATTCAATAGGTCCACGGCTTTAGGAGTCACGTCCAATAGGGCATGCTTATCCTGTTAGAAACGGGAAAAGGCTATGTAAGTGGTATGTCAAGTCATACAGCACCAAACAGTTTGTCTTAATAAGTAAAGGTGGTATCAGATAAACTTGTCAATTCAAATCAAAAAGCAGAAGACGTTTCTCTTCACGTTATGTCCACTAAATATTACCAATCTACTAGACTTTCTGAGAAAATGAATTAACAGCTAATTTGGTACAATGCCGCAAACTCTGGAAAAAAACAACCCATCACAACCACAGAGTATCAAGTAGTTTCCACACAAAGAAACATCTTACGTATATACTCTTTTTTTTTATCATTAACATTTAATAATTACTAAAATACAGACACTATTCCCAAAAAGACTATAGCAAACTATGACTCAGTTCTTACTGACAACATGGCCTTGGGATCAATTTTCTCACCTGTTCAATAATTTGCCTCACGGTATTTAACCGCACCACCCCGCTCGATTTCTCAGATCCTGCATCTTTTGGTTCCGTTTCTGCAAAGGCAAAAAGAAAAGGTTAAATAATTTTTTAGAAACCAGTGGCTACCTAATACTCCAACCCAACATCAGCAATGATGGGACATCTGACATAAGAGGCAATGGGGATGGATCCACACAGGCTATTCAGCCGAAGTCTAATCATGAGGAAACAGGCAGTCCAACAGGGCAGACAAGTGCCTCGGACTCTGCGCAGTATCAATGCCACCAAATAATTTAGGGAAAAAAGGATACTAGAAAGACATAAAAATCAAATGTATTTCAGGATGCGTGGTTACATTCTGATTTTTGAAAAAGAAGCCATGAAAGATGAAATTGGAAAACTGGGACAACTGAGAAAAACCTGCAAAATGGACTACATACTACATGTTGTTGAATCAGGGTTAAATTTCTTGGCTGTGATAATGGTAGTGTGGTTGTGCGGGAGGATATGTCTTTTTTCTTAAGAGATTCACAGGGATAAAACGTGTTATAATGTCTGCAACTTAAACTTTTCAAACTTTTCGGCAGAAATTTTAAAAAGCGTGTAAATGGTGTTGATGGGCGGGAGCAGTATATGTAGCAAAACGTTAACAACTTGTGATGGTCACTCCAGGTGACGTGTGTGTGGGTGTTCGTTATTTTTTTTCATTTTTTGTCCTGTATGTTAGATATTTTTCAAATAAAAATTTTGTGAGGAAAAAAATGCCACAGACAGACTTACTAGCAGTTTGGAAAAGGTCAGGTAATTCGTTTGATAATTTTTCCATTGCTATGTCGGCTATGGGGCCAAACAAGACCACAGGTCTCTTGAAACCAGCTGAAATGAGACAAGAAAAGCCATGAAAACACAAATACTTCCTTAGCAGTTAAAATAAAAAAGCAAAAGTATTTTATGGGCTACAGATAACATGTCTAAATGAAAGAAATTGTATGTTCTCCTACATGCAATTCAGCCCAGCTCTTTTCTGAAGAATATGCCTTTATTGCCCCATCATTAGAGATAAACTTCATTACAGGTAATAAAAAAAAATCTTTTGAATGGCAGTATGAAAAAAACAACTGAGGTTGGAAACATGCCACCATTTATGAGTTTGCACAGCTCGCCTATTTCTTAAGTCTTCTTTTGCGTTTGAATATAAGTCCAACTCTATAACCTTGCTTTGGCCTAAGTGATATGGGTAAGTTTGAACTTGACAGTTACAACATGAAAATGAAGAAAGACGGGCTGGAGTCCCATCAGATCGTTTCCTAGCCCCAGGTGGCTTCCTCACCTTCTCGCAGCAAAACCCTCTCATAAGCCGGGAACTTGGTGCTGACCGACACAACAGCTGTTAGGTCTTCCCGACTCTTCCGTAAGTTCTTCTTCACACCAGATCTCTGGCCACGCATTCTCCAGAAATCTGCCCTATCCCCAGCATTGTCTCGCTGGGCATTTTGCACGCTGGCCATTTGTTCAGCTCTGAAGGAAAAAACCACAGGAAGTAAATCTCTAGAGCTAGAGCTAGAAAATGTGCAAATGTGCATGTCACTAACCAAGTCTACTCAGTATTTCTTATGAACCTGGATTAGGGAAGATGCCGCTTGGCAAGGAAGAGGTTTCACAGGGTGGGAAATGTGGGGACACTCTCTTTCTAATGGAGGCAGATAAAGGCTTGGTCACCATAAAGGCTTGGCTCATTCTGACAGGCTGGTATACAGCAAACAGACCTGAGACTCCTGCCAAAATACAAATGTCAGCTAACCACCAAGTGTCCCCTGGGTTTGAGGATGAGGGACACACACTGAAAAAGGGTACCATATCTCTAAGAGGTGTGTTGGTGCGCTACAGGTACTCGGTATCTGCCCACATGCCGTGCAAAGTGGTGGACCTTCCTCACGACGTCATTAAAGCCAGCCAAATGCAACACCCGACTACGCGACGCTAAATACACAAACCAGCTGGCAGCTATTTCACAGTGTTAGGCCAGTCCTCATAAACAAGACGACGAGAGAGGACAGGAGGACAAATAATGAAGCCCTGTGCAGCTTCCCTTTTGAGGGGGATGGGATTATGATTTATCTGTGGGGGGGGGGGGGGGAGGCATGAAAGAGGGGCGTGTGGTCTCAGATACCTGCTTTTGTTGGGGATTAAGCCTTTCTCCAGCTCGTTTCCGATCCTCACAGCCAGCCAGTGGCCCAGCTTGCCGTCATACAGGGTATCGACCACTCGGAAGACCTCCCCCCGGGTGAAGGCCAGGCTCTGCGGAGTTTCCTTCTCACATTCAAAGTGGCTTCTTATGAAAAACGAGTCCCCTCTGCCACAAGCCAGTATGTCTCTGTACACTGAAAGGCAAACGCATCGCTGTATGCTGCATTCTGCTTAGCTGGAGGACTTGTCTTGAATTATTAGCTTTTCCTATTTCTGATCACCCCCTTTACCTTCTGTCCATTTGGCAAAACCAGCATACAGAGCTACGGGAAACCATGGCTCAAACAGGAAGAAGAATAAAAACAACTAACATTCTGAGCTGCTGTGATGGTTATGGTTATGTGTCAACTTGACTGGCGCACGGGATGCCCAGACATTTGGCCAAACATTATTCTGGGTGTTTTGAAAGGAGATCAATGTTTACACTGGTAGACGAAGTAAAGAAGATTGCACTCCCTGATGCGGGTGGGCCTCAGCCAATCAGTTGAAGGCTTGAAAAGAACAAAAAGATGAACCCTCCCCTGACTTTGAGGAAACTATCTCATCCCACCTTTGAACTGGGGTACGAGGTTTTTTTCCTGCCTTCACACTCAAAGTGAGACATCAGCTCTTTCTGGGTCTCAAGCCTGCCAGTTTTTGGACTCCAACTTTACCATACATTGGTTCTCAGGCCTTTGGACTTGGACTGAAACTAGGTTGTTAGTTCTCCTGAGTCTCCAGCTTGCCATTCACTCTGCAGATCTTGGGATTTTCTAGCCTCCCTAAGTGTTAGGCTAATTCCTTATAATCAATCAATCAATCTCTCCACATACACGCGCACCCTTATTGGTTTTGTCTCTGGAGAACCCTAATATAGTTGTCGATCAATCCTCTGACGTAGACGGGAAAACTACTATCAACTCCCACTTTACAGGTAAAAACAATGAAACCTGATAAAAGGAAGCAACTTGTCAGACTGACTCATGTGGGAGCTGACTAGTATGTGTGGTTGTTTGCATCCATCGCTGGAAAGGCTCAGTAGTAACTCCAGGACATACTTATGGATGGATCATCATCCAGAAAAGCAGTTATATTCCAAACTGACACAACCAGTGAAATCATTTCATTGGGTGCATAGAAAACATTTCTACGGGAAGTTAAATGGTGCCTAAATTGTTTCTAGAGATGAGGTGTTAGAATCCATTTCCATTTTTAATACTCAAATTTACCTGTTCCGGTCCCAAGACACCTCTCTCACCCTCCCGCTTGCCCCCCCATCCCCATTAAACTCATGGACAAACTTGCTCACCATCAGGTCGGCTCTGAGCTAAAATGGTCACCATTTCACCTTTGGGGATTTCTAACAGGTAGAGAACAGCATCTTCTCGAACCAGCCCCCTGAAATCCTGTGTGTTCACCTGAGAGGAAGAGCACACAGAAAACACAAAAACAAGAAGTTTACAAAGGGGTGCCACCTGAGGTTTGTATCTGATTGTTTTCATCAGGGTCTGCCCGGAGCGAAACTCAGATGTAAAGGTGAAGGGACTAAGAAGCACAAACAGGTGGTTACAGAACAGCCACGGGGATGTACAGTCCAGTGTAGGAAATGGAGTAGCTGAAGAACTTACAGGCTTAACCCACTGACATGAACAGTGGGGTGGGGACTGTCTGAGGGAAGGGGGTGCTGGGTGGAGGGGGACGAAAGGGGGAAGACTGGGACAACTCTAATAGCAAAATCAATAAAATATAACAATAATTAAAAAAAGAAGTCCTTAGCGTCCCTACTCAAGCCCTCCCAGCTCCCTGCTACTGGCCTGGGCGTTGTGGGCATCGCCGCACCTTCCTGCCTCCCCACACTGCCAACCGCCCATTTGGAATATGCGTCCCACCCAAGGCCCGCCACTAGATCAGAGGAGGACTAGCTGTGGTTGTGTCTGGTCTTAAGTCTCCTGTTGAGGTGGCCAGGGAGGTAATGTACCATCAGGAAACAGGTAACTAGAATGCAACAGGGAGTGGTGCGACCTATGGCAGAGAAGCATGCTGGCCCAGCTGAAGGCATTAACGCTGCGTTTCAATTAGTTCAAATAAAAGCCCGAACATAAAGGTTCTGATCAATTCCACTTTTCTCCTAACAGCTTCTCTCACCTAAAAGGTGTTTAATATGAGTTTAAGAAATTGGAGAGCATTAGCCTTAAATGGCAGACCAAGAGCTTGATATACAGGCTTATATATTTAAGCTTCTGACATATAGTTATTTCTGGCAGAGCCCACAATATTTATTCCCCACTGATTCAGCACGGTACACTGTGAATAGCTTTTGAAGTTAGAAACCAAGTAAATTTGAAATATGGAAAAAAAAACATTTTGGCATCTTTGTACCTTTAAAACCATTTTAAAAGAGAAAAGCTACAAATAATTAAAATGCAAAAATTATTTTAAAGTCCCTAATGTTTTAATAGTGTATTACTGAAGTGCAAAGAGACAGAATTCCCATGAAATATTTTTTTCAATCACTGAGGACTATAGAATCCTTTAATCAAATGCTTTGTTATTAACTAATGTTACAATTTATAATTTAATTGTTAGACTTTATAATTAAGTGAACTAAAACTTACTTGGTGCCTTTAAAATAAAGTGATTTGCTAAAACAATCACATTAACTTTTCCTTTGAAACAATATTTAGCACCTAACACAACGTCATTCCCGCCTCTCCATCCTCCACATTAGGGATCATTGCATTTTGTTATATAATCCTTTCTTATGCCATTTGTAGATCTACATCTGTGTCTATATACAGTATGGCCACATGTATGTTTTTATATGCATGTATATGCTTGTATTTGTTTATTTAAGTAAGAAAGGGCCATAGGGCTGGGGGAAGCCTTAAAGGTCCCTCTCTCCATCTCTACGGTCACGTGAGACAGACCATCCATCAAGCCAAAAAAACAGTCAAAATTTAAGCACACATGCTAGCTACCTTGTAAATGCACATGGTTAATAAGCAAACTTAGAATTTTTTTTTCTCTTTCCATCCCCTAAAAGTTTCTGAAGAGAAATAACCACAACAGACAAATAATAAGCAAAGAGATAGCCAGGCCAAGGACAAAAGCATGTCTATTTCTGTTATTTACGAGGCACAGGTTCGGTCTCACACAGCACACTCGTGCTTTTGTTCCGCACGTCAGGCTGGCACCTGACCAAAGGAGAAGCCGCACTTAAAAAACCTGTGATACAAGAAAGGGATTAGTATATGTACATAGTTCACCACACAGATTCAAGTTGCCATGAAAAGGAGTTCTGAAACAAAACATAACAAAACAAAACAAAACAAAAACAAACAAAAACACGGGGCAGTACTTGGATACTTTGAAGGTTCATTGTACAGTCCTCCCAGTAACTATCCTCTTATCGCCTAGTTTGTAGCCGACGGGGTCTACCCTGTCTGCTGTGAACCTGAAGAGGATTCTGTAGCAACTACAGCTTATGACTCTGTAGCAGCCTCCACCCCTTTGTAGAACTGAGGGCTCCCTTTGTAGTCAACAGAAAATTTGTTCTCAGCCAAGAACGAGGAAGCCAGTTCCTGAAGTTTCTTCCTTGTTGCCTCATGAAAACAGGAAACAAGACCCTTTCTTAAGTATAAACGCTGCAAACCATGGCTTTCACCCATGGAAGTGACTCTCCCCGTCTTCAGCAACTTACTGAGAGGCCAACCTGTCAAGCCCCTGTGTGAATTCCCTATTTTTTTTTTTCTCATGGAAATTCAGAAAATCTTTTTTCCCTTGGGTACAAAAATATTTAATCCTTGATCCTTCATGAGCAAAAGCTTCCAAATTCCTCCCTGCCTTCCCATGGCCCCGATGCCTTTTCTTCTTCAGCATCACTGTCCAAGAGTAAACTGGTATGAGCTGGCCTTTGGATGGGATTCTTATCAGGAGCACTTGGTAAGTGATGTTTCCTAGGATCATGTGGTACCACAAGGTTCACTCAGGTACACCTCATCTTCTAGGATCCTGACCAGAGCCAAAGAGGTTCTAGAATGTCACTGGAAAGCTTCAGCACGGCTCACGATCAAGGTTTGCCCTTAGCATGCTCCAGAAATGAAACCTGAGCTCCTGCCACGGGGCCAGGGGCCGAGAGCCAAGAGGGGAGGGGTGCCTGTCTCGTGCTCTGCTGCCTGCTTCCTCGGGAATCCTGCTTTTTAGTCCCCTCTCCTCTGAACCTAGATGCTCTTGCCAGACCCTCTCGTAACTCCTACCTAAGAAATGCAAGTGTACAGAAGCAGAAATTCCAGTGAAGCCAGTCCCTGAGCAGTCTGCATGTGTGTAGGTAAGAGGTACCTGACATTCCTGAAGTTTCTTCCAAAGCCAGTGGGAAACACATTACATGTATCTCATAAAATGTCAAAGCTGAGTTGGTTATCATTTTTTTAAAACCAATAGATTATACAAACACATATACGGTAACTTTAAAAGTACCAATATTTGATTAACCAAGAAATCCTCCTCCTCCACAACGTAGATGTAAATGACATATGCAGTGGCAGCAACTTATTATTTCCAGTGGGTAAAAGAAGGAACATTGACCTTCATATTCTGTGCCAGGAACTCCGCTAGGTGCCTGTGTTATCTGTTCTAATTTTCCCAGGGTCCCTGCAAGGCAGATATTCTTCTCCCCATTGAACAGATGCAGAAACCCGTCTCAGAGGTTGAGCGAGGGTCACAGAACTAACGAGAGGCTGGGATGCGATTCAAATCAAATGATCTGGTGCCAACATCTGCCTTTGTTCAGCGACAGCGCACTGCCTTCATGAGGGACAACCAGACAGGGGAATCAACGAGAAACCAAATATTAACACGACCTTTTGAAAACTCTTCTTCCTCGGCCTTTAATTATAGTTTCAGGGTTTGTTTGTTTTGTTTTGTTTTGTTTTTTTTAACCAAGCAAATACCAACCAATATTTGCAAGAGTCTTGAACATCATCAATTCCCACAAAAGGAGTGAGTTTTGGGTTCTAGGACTGAGGAGACAGAACCCATTCCAGGGGAACTGGGACCTTGATGCTGGGCATCAGTCAACATGGCTGCAGCTGATTTATTTTCACAAGCTGGACCACTTTGCTCCTCCCTTCTGTAAGACCCCCCCAGAAAACCCCACTCTTTCCAGTAACTTCTAGAAACAGGACTGTGCTCTCCTTACCTTCAGAATTTGGTCCCCTTCTTGAAGGCCTTCTTGCTCTGCCGAGGTCCCCTCTTGAATGCCAGCCACAAATATTCCGACATCATTGCCACCAGCCAATCGCAAGCCCACGCTGTCTCCCTTCCTGAACTTCACCATTTTGGTGTTGGGACTGCAAGGATTTCAGTTTCAGAAAGGAAAAATGGAAGATTATTTTTGTAAAGGGAGACCAACTTTGGCAGAGGAGAGATTTAACTTCTTCTATCTATAGAGTGACTTATGTTTAAGCCTCTCATTTTCCTCACGTAATATATCATTTTATGAGCCTCAGTACTATAAGATGAATAGAGTTGGCCCACTTTACCAGTGATGAAGTAGAAACATAGAAGGTCTATGTGAGCTCATTCAAGATTAGAAGGCAAGGTTAGGGTTAAAGATCAAAGCCGCATGAACTACTCTTCCAAAGGAAAGCCTGTTGCTACCCCAGGGCTCCTGTCAAAGGATGCACAGCCTGGGTTCAAGAAAGCCACCTCCTCATCCAGGAGCCACTGTTTGTGAACACAGAACCAGTGGTCCTCATTATCAAGGGCAAAGCATGTCGCACCTCGCGCCCCCGCCCCCACACTGGGACCCCCGTGTGACTGCAGCTCCGCAGAGGCGCTGAGCAGCGCCTCCCCTACCTGGAGTGACCCATCTGCCCAACTCAAATATTCCGAATCACATTCTGGAGAAATAGCCAGATCAGTGAAAAAGCAGACCAAGTTAACAACACAAACTTCACCCGCTTCCGTATTTTACTCTTCTGCAAGTGATTTCTCTTTCTCATAAACACTAGCAACAGGGATTGATTAAAGGTGGCTGATTTTAAGCGGTATCACCATGCGTTGTTAAAAAACACCATTTTTCTGGATTTCAGTAAAGGAGATAGAGCTGTGTGGAAGAAGAAAGGGCAAAAAAGGCTGAAAACAGATACCCATATATTGCTTCATCTTCAGGGCTGGGACGAAGAAAAGTTCTCGGTGCTGCCTTTGATTGAGGAGCTGAGGATTAAAAAGCACCCGTCATTACCAGCCTGGACAAAAGGAGTTGGTTTGTCTCAACATATACAGATCACAAAACCCACGCCCTGGCCAGTGGGGATCAGTTGGTTAGGCATCATCTCTCAGACCAAAAGGTTGCGTGTTTGATTCCCAGTCAGGGGACATGCCTAGGTTGTGGGTTCAGTTCCCAGTTGGGCCACGTACAGAGGGTGGCCAATCGATATTTCTCCCTCACGTTGATGTCTCTCTCCCTTCCTCCCTTCCTTATGCTCTCAGGGAAAAAAAAAAATCACAAAACCCACCCAAAATTCAAGTTTGTACCTAATGCTACATATATGTCATCACATCAAACAACAAAAATAATTCTTTAAAGTGAAGCTTAATTTTAAGACAGCAGGTACCGACGGTTTCTCAAAATAAGTGAGAAATGAACCTCTAAAATATAGGGTGCATAATCGTATGTACCAGATGATAGTGTCTTTTAAAACTAAAAACAAAGAACAAAAAACACATAATAATGCTGTTTTCTCATGAATATTTTTGCATGTAGAGTCATGATAATAAGTTCAGGTGGCAGAAGTAGGGTTAGGGGATGGGACTGAGTCAGAGATGGGATATTAAAGGACCTCAACTAATCAAATATGACAAAACATGATTGTGATATAATTAAAAATACATATTTGGTCTCTGCCCCCAGTTCCTACACAAAGTTCCTAAAATACCCATAATTCCCGGGGTGGTGAGAGGTACCAGGAGCATCTTCTGCTCTAATGTTTGGTATTTGACCCTAGTTCCTGACACAGAGCTCCTACACCCCTTGGAATTTCCTGGGTGATAGGAGAGTCCTTTGTTCTAAAACATGGCTCTTGTTATTAGTGGTTTCTATTAATGAACTGTTAGAAGTGGAAGAAACACTGTGTTTATTATTCTGTAAAAACGAGGCTTTGCGCCCTGGCTGGTATGGCTCAATGGACTGAGCGTCGGCTTGTGAACCAAAAGGTCGCTGGTTCAGTTCCCAGTTGGGGCACATGCCTGGGTTGTGGGCAGGGTCACCAGTATGGGGTGTGTAAGAGACAACCACACATTGATGTTTCTCTCCCTCTCTTTCTCCCTCCCTTCCCCTCTGTCTAAAAATAAATAAATAAAATATTTAAAACAAAACAAAACAAAACCGGGCCTGGAACATAAGGATTTCAAGTCCCTGAATCTTAATGTCTTGATGCTCATTAAAGACAGGACTCTGGTGGGCTCCCGGACAGCCTCAGTATGCGGCTGGTCACCAGAATGTGCGAGCCATGATTCGAAGTTTGGAACTTTCAGCCTGCCTGCCCATCATCGCAGGAGGGGTGAGGAGCTGGAGACTGAGTTAATATTTGACCATGCAATGACAAAACCTCCACAAAACTATGGGGGTTCAGAGTACTTCAAGGTTAGTGAACACATGGAGGTACTAGGAGTCACACGCTTCGAGAAGGCATGGAAGCTCTGCACTCCTTCCCTTGCACCTTGCTCTATATAGCTATACATTTCATTTGGCTGCTGAGTTGCAGCCTTAATAATAAGCCCGTATTAGCAAGTGAAATGCTTTTCTGAGTTCTGTGAACCATTCCAGCAAATTATCAAACCAGAGACGAGCATCATGGGAACTCCGTTTAGAGCTGGTTGGCCAGAAGTAAAGATGATAGATAACCTGGGACTTGAGACTGGCGTCTGAAGTGGGGGCTTTGTGTGGGACAGAGCCCTTAACCTGTGGGGTCCGCAGGGGGTTAGTGTCAGAACTGAACTGAATCCCAGGACAACCCAGTTGCTGTCTGGAGAATTCAAAAACTGGTAGCTGAGGGGAGGAAAAAACCTACCCATCTGGTGTCAGAAGCATTGTGAGCGGAAAGCTCAGGCTGGGATCACAAATGGGAGACAAAAGAACCATAACTAATCAAACAAAATGTGACCAATCTGTTGGTATAGAAAAGGACTGTTATTTCTTACATTTTTTTTAATATTAAGAGAGAGAGCTCTGGCTGACGTGGCTCAGTTTGTTGGGTGTCTTCCCACACACTGAAAAGTCACTGGTTTGATTCCAGGTCAGGGCACATGCCTGGGTTGCAAGCCTGGCCCCTGGTTGGGGCGTGTGCGAGAAGCAACTGACCAACTCATGTTTCCTCTCACTTTGATATTTTTCTCCCTCTCATTCTCCCTACCTCCCCGCTCTAAATAAATAAATAAAATATTAAAAAAGAGAGAAAGACAGGAATGCTTCTTTCATATTTGAAAGTAAGTTTTTCAAATAATTTCTCTCTCTCCTTCCAGCCATCCTCTGGATTTACCAATCAGAAACTTCTGAGAGCAATTGTTTAAGATGAGCCTCGGCCCTGGCCAGGTAACTCAGTTGGTTAGTGCATCGTCCTGATACACCAAGGTTGGGGGTTCGATCTTAGATCAGGACACATACAAGAATCAACCAAAGAATACGTAAATAAGAGGAACAACAAATTGATGTTTTTCCTCACTCTAAAATCAATTAAAAAAATAATAAAATGAGCCTCACATGGGGCTTCCTCTTGGTATCTGGGCTCCTTGCTGGTCTCTGTGCCAACCACAGCTGCAACATCCTCCGCGCACTTAAAGGGAGTGGGTGTGCTGCCCATCCTGGACCACCTGCTCTGGACATCCTCTCTGGAACTTAAGCACATGTCATATAAATACCTCATAACGCAACAGGTTCACAAATACCTATGTGCATACATGCGTACACTCACAGTGAGGTGTACAAGGGAAAAAACACATCATCTTACTTTGGCTTTTCCTTCAGCTTTTCATTTGAGGAATGATAATCGTAGTCGGAATACTGCTGCCGTCTCTCCACTGGAGAAAACGATCGGTTTGACTCTATTTCCGAGACATCTGGTTTCAAAAATAAGAAAAGACTTTTTAATGAAATATTTAAGACCTGTACCAGAAATTATCCTATTCTCTGGTTTGGGAAACGGAAGAGGGGCAGGCAGGAAATGTGCTATTCGTCTAACAGTCTTTCAGAATTGGAAAAGAAAAATCTGATAGTTGGGAGGGAAAGGCTTTAATTAATAAAGAGAAAGCCAGATACAGAATTTTAGGTTCCTCTTTCATTACAGTTTCTAGCAAAGCTGCTACTGAAGAGTCAAAATTCAATTACTGGAAAAAAATAGATATGTATATTTCTCAAATATTCATGCACCTACGAATCACCTGAGCTCTTGTCAGAAAGCAGCAGTTATGGGGGCGGGGGTGCCTGAGACACTGCCCTTCTATCAAGCTCCCAGATGCTGCTGATGCTGCCAGTGGGGTAAGGACCATGCTTTGAATAGCAAGGCAACGCACTAACAGCTCCTAGCAAGCTGGGATGATTTCTCGGCACTGCACTCACAACGGTAACAGCTGCTGAGACTTTTGATATCATGGAAATTAAACGAAGTTCTATAAAGAAATCCTTTAAGGAGTCAACATCTATCTTAAAACTTGAGAACACTTTTTCTAAGAGTTTCTAAGAGAACACATAGGCAATATGAGATGGTTAACTAGGAAATACAATGATTACTTATTGTTATTGGTAATTTGTATGTGGCTAAAAATGTTATCTTATGTACAGTCCATATTTGAGAAACGAGTAGAGTCATAAAAGAGGTGAGATGGATTGCTAACCACTGAGCACACAATAAAAGGCCATTCTGATTCTTGATTATAGCATCTACCTATTTTTTTGCTACCCTCCACATTATCTTTGTCAAAAATATGAATAGCCACTTAAAACACACAAGAAGGTGCAAGAACGAGCACGTTACAAATGAATGTGGTTAGTTCTTTGAGCTGCTGGCACATACACTTTCTAACAAGGTCGATCTCCAGGGGCCTCATCGGCATCCACTGGGAGTTCACGAGTGCGCCCAAATTGCCCATTGGGAACCTAATTTCAACAGACACTTTAATAAGAAAATAACGACCAAATACTTATCTTTTGGAATGAAAATGTAAAGGACAGGCTTTCATCGGAAATCTAACTTTCAGTGGGACGGCTACGCTAAACAGAGAAGAGAACGCCGAAGCAACAGCTGTCCTCGCTTCCCGCCAAGCTCACAGCCCCCCCTCTCTTTACCTTCTATTTCTGAGTCGCTGTCATTTAGCGATGGGATGTTGATGAGCGTCTGCTTGTTGTCTCTCCACACCACTAGCTGGAGTTTTCCTCTTGACTTTTCTATCAGTTTTCGAGCATCCATTAAAGACATGTTCTCAGTTACAGTTCCATTGATCTGTGTTTACGAAGAACAGTAATGGTATATATTTGATACAACTATTCATGGTGAAAAAGAAAACTCGTATTTTCTCCTACTAAAAATGTAAAGGCTTTGCCCATCTATTCAAGCAGACATGGGCTTTAGGGTGACTCACTGAATAAAAGTGAATTATCCTTTAAATTAAATATAATCTTGCATGCCTGGATCCCAAATACAGGCATGAGAGAGCTGTAATGTGCTTAAGTTACTCTGCTAATTTATTTAACTTCCAAGCTCAAGATGATGGTTTGGTTTACTGCTGGAACGTGTCTCCTGACTGGAGAGGTTTACAAAAACTATTAAATATTCAGCATTCATATACTACCAACTCTCCCTCTCATCTTTCCTTAGTTTAGGAAATACGAGCTTAAACTTTAAACAAACAGGGAAGAAAAGAAGTACTCATTGAGATATATTTTTTTAAACTGACAAACTATTAAAGACCTGCAAGTCTGGTTTTTCTGATAAAAATTCTCTCACTCCGCTTTTCCTCCCAGCCTCTGTCTTACTACTGACTCCCACTGCAACCAAGCGTCTCCGTGTTCGCACTCGAACGTGCAAATGCAGACGATGAAGCCAAGTATGAATCTGCGTGTCCTCTACCCCTGCCACCCACCTTGAGAATTATGTCCCCTTCATGCAGGTTGCCATCTTTCGTTGCCAGACCAGTACTGGTCATTTCCTTTATGAAGATCTGACTCCCCAGCCGGAGACCATATTCTAGGAGACAAAGACATCAACATACACGTGTTTCACCAACCTGTTCAGAAAACTTAGTCTGGTTTTTAGGACTCAATTAAAATATTGATGAAAAATTAACTTTGGATGTGGGACAGTCTGTAAGATGACTTAGCATCAGAAAAAGTCAATATCATACCAAAAAAAGAGGCAGAGGGACTATTCTAGATCAAGAGACATAACAACCAAATGCAGCGCATGAACCTTCACTAGATCCTTGATCCCATGTAGGGAAGAGGCGAGGGGTAGGGAGGGCAGTGGGTTACATCATTTTGCAGCAATTTCAAAGTGAACTGTATTATAATATAGTAAAAGGACATTGATGTTAATGTGATGAAGGCATTACAGGTATGTAGGAGAATGTTCTTATCCTCAGGAGACACGCGCTGAAGTACAAGATCCAGCACAAATAATGCTCCTTTTTTATTATAAAATCTTTTATCATAAAATCCTAAGCATGTAATTCTGTAACATAACAATATCACACTCAAGCACACCGTATGACATTTTAGGTGAAATGTTCAAACTAGAACTATAAATTCCTATACCCATACCATTACCCTACCAACCACACTCAAGCGGGCCTTACTGCTGCCGGACCCAGTATTTAAGGGTAAAAGGGTCAGGTTGCCAGTAGCTTCCTTTCAAGTGGTTCCAGAACACCACTGAGAGTCAGGGGACTGGGAGTGGGAGCGAGGAGGGGGAGGGGAAAGGAGCAAGGGAAAAGGGAAAAAAGGTGAAAGAAAACAAATGTGGTAAAATGTTAACCACTAGTAAAACTAGGTCAAGGCTATATGTGAGTATTTGCTATAAAATTAACACTTTTCAAAATAAAATGCTGGGGAGAAAAAAACCAACTCAGTACACAGTCTGCTGACAGTGCAGCTGCCTACAGGAAGGCACTGCTAAAAGAACAGCCTTCATCTGTAACAATTTAGATTGTGTGGGGTTTGGTGTTGAAAAAATTTCAGTGTGTAAAGAAAAGAAGCAAATAATCTAGGCAAAGCAATAAAGTATTTAACTAAAACCAGCATAGCTCTGAGGGTTCATGGTCTTTGATTTGCCCTCAAAACAAAAAACACTGTGCTAAGTCTGTATATTTTAAAATACTTTAAATACTATTCAGACTATTCTGATATTATTTGCTAAACTTGTAAAATATTTTTAAGGACGAATTTTGGTTATTTTAGGAAGTTAGAAGGTTTTGAAAGAGGCACACTCAAATTTTATTACTACTTTTCTGAACTCAAAATCTTATACTTACAAAACAAAGTAACTTTCTACAATTGGGGAAAGTTATGAAGAAGGTCAAAAGATAAGTTTTAAATAACTTATGGTAAGTTAGTATCAGATCTTACCATAATGACTGAAAGTGTTGAGGTCCATGCCCACCCGCTTAGGAAGTTGACACTTAAGAAACAATAAGGGGAAGACAGCACCTTCTTTCATGGATAACAGTTCCCTACTGGATGGGACAGAAGGCTGAGACAAGCTTGAGTGATGATTTCTTTTTTACATATCAACAATTCCTTTATCCTCTTAAAAACTGAACTTGTAAGGTTGGTGTGTATGCGGACATCTCTTAAATGAATTGAAGAAAATCAGTTAACCAGCTTCTAACACATTTACCAGGATGGCTCGTTGGTGCCCATGAAATGCCATCAGCTGGCCATAGGAAGGACCACATTTTTCTTAATCAATTGTAGATCTCACCTACTGCTGTATTTCTTTAAAATTAATTCTTATGCAACTCTAGCCAGTGATAGCTAAGTTACTGTGTAATCTCAGCTAAAAGTAGCCAAAAAAAATCTTTTAAAAAGTGGAACTTCTTAAAAATGAATGCTAAGTTTTAATGAATTCTAAGTTTGAAGAACAAAATGGCCTAGCGAGATTAACGTGCTGTGTCAGCAAAAGGTCATAACCCCCTTTTTTGGCTGTATATTATTCCTAAGACCAGGCATGACTTGGGCAGTCCCTTACAACAAAAAATGTCTTTTTAAATTGTGGGTCACAACCCACTGGTAAGTCTCCTTAACAATTTAGTGAGTTGCAACCAGCATTTTTAAATAAATGTAATGGAACCTCTTGGAATGTGTCACATAAAGTATTATCTTATGAAACTTTTGTTCAAGTTTATATATGTACGTGCACCCATGACTGTTTGCTAAATGTAGTTCTTTCTTTGGCAGGAAGAGGAGGAGAAGGAGAGAGAGAAGAAGAGGAAGTGGGAAAGATGAGGAAAAAAAGTTTGAAAAGCACTGTCTTAGGTCACTCAAGAACCTTGGGTGCAAGTCCTAGAGAGTGTGCATTAGGCCTCTCTCAAGAAGGCCTCATGCCAAGTCATCTTTCTCAAAACCTTCCTACAGTCCATCTTTCAATCTGGGAGCAGAATGGATTTACAATTCTTGTGGGCTGATGAATTAATATGCCATTATAAATGGTTATAAAGAGTCTAAAGAATCCTGAAACCTCCTGAGATCTATATTCCTCCGAAATAGGCTATTTACCATGCAAACTGCCAACCTACTATGCAATAGTTTCTCACTTTGCATGCTCGGGTGCTCTTCACCTTGTTCCTTTTGGAAGGAGAACAATTAAAGAACAAAAGGATATAAAAGATTTGTCCCAAGAAATTTAAAAAGTCAGAAGCCAAGAATCAATGCAAGGAATATCTCAACACTGGGCGTAAAGCCCTGTTCATTCGCCTACTTGTTTCCTGTCATCTACGGACATTTGAGGTCCAGCTCCAGCACTTACTGGCCTCATGATGTGGGCCAGCCGCTTCCCCTCTCTGCGTTCCAGAATCCTCACCTAGGCTGCAGGGGCTGGTGGCTTCACTAGCTGCCACACAGGGCCTCAGTGAATTCTGGATGTGATTAAGGGTGTGCAAATGCTCCAGGAATGCAACGTGGGACAGGCGGCCCGGGCCAGAGCCTACCTCATGTGTGGGCATATTACCAGGATTGGGGTGCTTGGGATCCCCAAGATAGAGATCAAGAGAAAACACCAGAGGAAGTTCTAGGCAGATTTAATTAAGCTCATGCTTGAGCACCAGGGAGACAGCACAGAAGAAAGGAATATCCTCTAAACTGGCTGGGGGGCTGGCTCTGCATGGCTGCTTTACAAGCTGGGGACAAAGCGGGTTTGCACAAAAAGATGGGCTTTTTGAAAAAGAAGGGCTTGTGGAATTTTCCATGGCAACATGGGAAAAGCGCGCGGTTAGAAGAAAGATAAAATTCTGCCTTTTTCTTTTTTTCCTTTTTGAGCAAGGAATGGAGGGGTGGTAACATTCTTGTGGTCTTCTTATCTGGCCTTCCTTCTGGCTACCTGGCCTTACCTTGGCTTCCTAGCCACCTGGTATTTTTCCATTCCTGGGGCCCAAGCCCCTAAGCTATCTCAGGCATACCAAAAATTTCTCTGAACTCTGATATTCCCGCCTGTAAAACAGGAACAAAGGCTCCTACCTACCACACAGGGTGCTGATGAGGATTAAATAAGAGTATTATTTCAGCATAGGTCCTGGCATAGAGAGGTTTTGTCAGTTTAAGCTTCACCAGGCTCACCAGGCGAGCTTGTTAACATACAGATTCCAGGGCCCTGCCCCAGTGTTTCTGAGTCAGTGGGGCTGGGCTGGGGCCTGAGGATCTGCATTTCTAACAAGTGTCCAGTGGTACTTATGCTGCCTTGAGAGCCACGGGCCTAGTAGTTTAAAGCTGAATTTCTGCAGCCTGTGCAAGTCAATGAACTTTTCTGAAACTGTACCTCAGTTTCCTTATCTATAAAATGAAGACATGCTAACTCCTATATGAGGTAAGGATGAGGGTGAAATGAGCTCATTTGGTGCAAAGCATTCAGGCCAGTCCTCGGCACACAGTTAAGTGCCATGTAAGAGTTAGCCATCAGTACACTAGTGCTTTTCTACATCAAGCATTACTACCTTCATTTGCTTTGCTTTTCATCAGAAGGACCCCAATGGGCTTGTCCGCCTCCTGCTGGCCTGCACGGTCTGGCCGCCCTCTCGGCTCGGGGCTGGGGCTGCGCGAGCGGAGGTGCTCCCGGCTGCGGCTCCGGGACACCTCGTACCGCGCATCAGGCTGAGCCCTGTGCCTGTACTCCGCCTCCGGGCTGTAGGCCTGGTTGTAGGGCTGGTCATAAGCCTGGTCAAAGCTCCGGCCGCGGCTGCTATCTCGGCCTCGCCCATAGTCATGGTCCAGGCCCCGCTCCAGGCTCCGGCCACGGCTTCGGTCTCGGGCTCTGCCATAGTCGTCGTGGTCCAGGCCCCGCTCCAGGCTCCGGCCACGGCTTCGGTCTCGGGCTCTGCCATAGTCGTTATGGTCCAGGCCCCGCTCCAGGCTCCGGCCGCGGCTCCGGTCCCTCTCCCGGCTGTGCAGCCGGTCGTGGGGATGCCCCCTCTCCAGGCTGTCCTCCCAGCTGCGCAGCCGGCTCCTCTCGCTGTACCGATCACTGTACCCGCTGTGGGCACTTCTGTGGTCAAACTCATCCATCACCTCAAAAGCCCGGTCATCTTCGTTGAGAGGAAGGCTACCCTGCAGGGGGGCCAGCTGAACCTTCCGAGGCCTCTTGACCACCTATTCATCAAAACACAGTGGGGACATAGGACAATCACAATGAAACATAAGAGAATGCAGTGGTTAAAAGCTCTGGTTCTCCTTCCAGTAAAACTGTGTGTCCCTAAGCCTCAGGTTCCTCATCTGGAAAATAGGGACGATAAAGACCTCATAGGGTTGAAAATAAAGTCAGACAATGAGTATAAAGCTCTCAATACAGTGCCTCCAAAATCTGCTTCTACTCAGAGAGTGAAAAGTACCAAGGGACTTTAAATCACTGTGTTATAAAAATGAAAATCCAGAAAGTGAGATATTCTATATACAACTGCCTCACTTCTTCCAAAAGTCAATGTCATTATAAAGGGGTGTGTGTGAGGGGAAGAGGTAGGGGAAAGAGGACCCCTCCTAGATTAAAAAGAACAAAAAAGATAAGGGCCAGGGGCAAAGAACGAACTTTGATTAGATTCCATGGGGAAGAAGAAACAGTCTATCAAAGAAGTCTTAGGGTATGGACTGGATATTAGATGCAACTGTAGACCCGTAATTTTCTTACAGAGGATAATCGTATCATAATCAAGTAGAAGAATGTCCTTAATTCAGAAGACGCACGCTGAAGTAAGCAGAACTAAACTGACATGTCTGCACCTTCCCTTCAAATGGTTCACTAAAAATGTATGTTTATATACATATATGGTAGAAAAACATAAGTAAATATGGCAGAATATTAACATGTATTAGATATATATATAACAGTTTAGTACATTAACCTTTGACCTTTCTCTTTCGTTTGACAGTTTTCATAACATAAAGTTGAAAAAAGGAAATACCTCACACCCGGTGCATCCCCCCTAGTGCTGCCCTGAACACCCACTATACTCCAAACGTTCGCTTTGCGAGCTCACTGGCGCCGCTGGAGTGAGCACTCCCGGCAGCACAGACCTGCTCCAGGGCGCAGGGGCACCTGGCTCAGAGGAGATTCTCAACCAGTGTTGGCTAAATGAATGAGAGAGCAAATAAACGAATGGACGCTATAGGCTGCCCCTGTGTCCTCAGAAATTCTAGTGTATGAAGATATACTACATTCTGTTTGGGCCTTTACAAATGTTTCTGGGGTAAAACTTATTTCCTAAATTAATGCTCTTTTACCACTCTTCTCAATCTATTTAATTCTCACAGGGATTAATTATCTAACCTGACTCTGAAGGCAAACTCACTCAGGTAAGAGAATCATTGGTTGTAAGAAGTTAGAAGAAAGACTAGAAAGAGGCAGGGAGGAATTATTTACACGATCCATTACATCACCCTCCTAAAGTATTAAGGATACACCGAGGTAGCAGCCCCTAAATTATAGAATTCTGTCAAGTGTTTAAAAGCAAGCAGTAATTTTCTTCTGGACAAAAAAAAAAATTCTACAGAAGGGAGCTGAAACAAACCCGGAACTCACAATGGATGCGATCTTCCCGCTTTTTCTCAGCTGCTGAACGGCAAATGAATGGAGCACGTCCTCCATGGAGGTGCCATTAACCATGACCACCCTATCGTTTTCTCTGCAGACAAAAAATAACCACGGGATGTGAACAACTCCCATTTATTCATCGCAAATCTTTTACTTAGAAACAAACAGAGGCAGCAAATTGACCTGAAATGCTTATCAAAGGACTCAGTGTCTGATGACTCCCAAGGCTTCATTGGTCAACTCAGCCTGAGGGAGGGACCCAGGAGTCCCTCAGCCCACTTCTGACGGTTCCCTGACAACCAGTGAGGGAGAAGGACCCAAACCACCAGGTCCCTCCAGGAGCCACCTGACAATGGCGAGGTCTGAGCAAAAGTGACCGCCTGCATCAGGCCTCCGTACCCCAGGCGCACAGTGAGCTTCAGGAAGGGTTCCATCCACTTGTGTTTGGGGCTGGAAAAAGTCAAGAGCTTGCCTCAGAGTCTTAAAGACACTCTGAGGTCACAGAATGCTCACTCTTACTTTATCTCATCCCAAAAATCATTTAAAACTTCTCTTTGCTCCCTGAAAGACTACTAACTTTGACAGGACCATAGAGGCTTGAAATGCCAATAGAACCTAAACTTTGGAGCTGTGTGGCCAAGGCCATCACATGGTTACACTTCAGGTTCTGCCCCGAGAAACAATGCTGAGGGGCTCAGACGTACATTGTTTCAATGGCATCATCTCTTCAGACTGGAAGGGTGGTAGTTGGAAAACTTGTGTTTTCATGTAGTAACTTTTTCCCATTTCCACATCCCTCTTACGAATCAGATAATTATTAAGCCAGCGTCTCTCCATTAAATTCTTAATGAACATAAATTAAGGTAAACAGTGTTGGGCTGAGGATTGGGGGCTGGGGGGAGCGTGCCAGTCTTATACACCATGTTCAGAAATGGTCTCTAAACCCAAGGGTGATAGCTGTGATAGAGCTACCTTCCTAAGGAAACAAATGCGCTCCTTCCTCCAGAGTTTGGATGTTCCCAGAGGACTGGTGTGTTAATGGCTCCAATTCACATATATATTCATATATTGGGTTGACAAGAAAGTTTGTTTTTCTTCCTGTAAGATGGCTCTAGTAGGGCTTATTTGTCCATCACATCGCTCAAAACAATTTTGTTAGACTGAATTGTGAAAGCTGTCACATCAACGTGCATTTAAAAATAATCGAAACTGGTGAATTTTTGTGTAGCCATTTTAATATTGAAGATGAAGAAAACGTGCAACATTTTTGGCCTATTGTGCTTTACTATTTCAAGAAAGGTAAAAATGCAACTGAAACACACAAAAAAGATTTGTACAGTGGGTACGGAGGAGGTTCTGCGACTGATCGAATGTGTCAAAAGTGGTTTGCAAAGTTTCGTGCTGGAGATTTCTCGCTGGACGATGCTCAGCTGGTAGACCAGTTGAAATTGACAATGATCAAACTGAGATATTAATTGAGAACAGTCAACGTGATACCACGCGGGAGATTGCCAATATACTCAAAATGTCCAAATCAATAAAGTTACTGGTGAAAATGAAAAATGTGTCTTTTATGTTACAGAAAAACCATACGGACTTTTTGGCCAACCCAATATATGTATATAAAAGTGCGCACACACACATAAGTTTTTGAAAATTATTTCAAAAGTGCACACCACCCAAAGCATCCTGTCTAGAGCCAACTGGCGGGGCTGGCAGGGGTCGGCAGGGGTCGGCAGGGGCCGGGGGCAGGAAGAAAGAACACTCACTGAAGCAGCCCATCGGCGGGCCCACCCGGAAGCACATCAGAAATGACGATTGATGTTTCTCCATTTTCAAAGTGAGGGTTGTCTCTGCCACCAGACACCGCAATTCCAAATCCTCTTTTGGAATCCTGTTCATTAAAGTTAAGAGGAAAATAAAATAAAATAAAAACACCTTTCCATAAGTGGCTTTCAGGATTTATTACAAGCAGTTAATAAAATAAAGAGTGAACCAATCACCAGAGACAGCTCAGGAAGAGTGGGCTTACAGAAACAAAATAAAGCGGCCTCATGGTTAGCTGCCAGGCTTATAAAGGGCAATTCCTTATCTAAAAGAAACAGCCTTGTGAAAGCTGGAAAAGATTGATAGCACTGACTGGAGTTATCACTGCAAGCTGGCAGGGGATGGAAAATAACATCTCTTGTCCAAACAGGGCTGCGCTACTCGAACCACCAATCACATGCTCGTATCCTGGCCTGAGCTGCAACAGCTTCAGGCACACCTGAGTCTGTGCTAAAACCCTACTTATAATGTATACTTTTAACTCCCAAGTTAGGTGAGCTGGTGATTCCATTTTAATAGAGGGCGGAAAAGGAGTAAATGCATTTTAAAGATGAAATAAAATTGGAAGATAAACTTAGTTTTGAAATCTTATGAGACAGCAAAACATTAAATTCTTTTCTATATGCATGTAAGATGTACAAGATGGAAATACAGATTAATTACCCCCATGGCCAAGAACTGTAATGGTGAACTCAAGATAATGCAAAATCCTAATTCATTTCAGTTTTTCAAGCTAAGCTCCCGGGTCTCATCCAGATAAAATAGGAATATGTGACTATAACCCTAAAGCAGGGTTTGGTTATGTGAAAGTCTACTCGGAGAATAAAAAAATCATCCCCCTAGAAAAGCTCCCACATGGGGCCCACCATGCCCACTGATGATAAACAACGACCAACACAAAAAAGGCGGGGCTGCCTGTTAATCACATGGCTTTGAGCTTGGCAACACCATCGCCTCATGCCTGGGTTTGCACAGAGGTAGCTCCATCCTCTATACCATGCCTAAAATGCCTCTCACTTGCCGAACTGGGGTCCACAACTCAAGGGGTATGTCCAAAGCTGGGGGAAGGGCACAGAGGAGAGCCAGGGGATGACTAGAATTGAAAAACAAGGCCTACAGGGGGAACCCCTCAGCTGACGAAACCATGATTACAGCCCCAGAAGTTTCAGCACCTGAGCACTGATCTGTTCTTTTTTCCTACCTGCATTAATACACCTTTATTCAGAAACAAAATTTTCATTAAAGACAGGGCTCAAAGTTGAACTCCATTTGAGGAACGTATAATCCCTCTAAGAAGTGACAGAGATTGGAGGGATTCAGAGCAGGAAGAAGCCTCCAGCAGGGCCCAGGAAAATCACAGTGACGCGGACCAATGCGGCTTGATGGAATGAGACAGGGAATGCGAGTGAAGTTCTAGTCCAGCCCAGCTGCACCCGAATCTCTCACGCACTCTTGGTAGCCGCACTGGTTTTGAGTGGGGTTAACACCTATGGTGCCTACCTTGAAACCCGCTGTCACAATAAAAAGGAATGGTACTAACACTTACTGAGCAACTATTTTGCGCTGGACTCCCTGTACTGGAAGCTGTGTGTGTTACCTCATTTAACCAAGAGGACAAATCCCTGTAAAATGACTTTTAAAATTAAGTAAAACATATTTATATATGGCACTACTTCTACTTTCAATACCATTGTGGAGGTGGGAGAGGATATTTTAATCTAACTCAACACCTCTTCATACACTTAGGAGTAAGACAAGGAAAACAATCTATGTCTTCTTATTGCTAAACCAATTTTTTTAAATGTAGCGTAGACATCAAACTCACAGAGGATGTTATAAGTTTTCTACATATTAAAATCAAAATTAGAAGAAGTTGTCGAAGCTACCTCAACATCCTCAAACAGTACAGGTTATTTCCATTCCTCCCCCTTTCCTCTCTCTCTCTCTTTTTTTTTTTTATAACCTGTTCTGTCTGGAGATAGGTGAATGCACTAAATTACCTCTACAGTTTTATATATTATACAGACCTTAACCAAAAAAAAAAGTAATTGCATGCAAATATTTGTTAGCACAGTAATGACTGCCAGCTGTTCCCTACAACGCATTATCCACCTGAAGGGGAAACAAAACTGCATTTAGGTCAAAATAAACAAGACCCACAGTCTGTAAACTCCAGGACGTGACCGACCATGGCATACACGCAACACGCAGCGCTCACCTTCTGCAGCGTCACAGTGTGCTGTTCCCATATCACTTCTTCCATGCCTGGGGCCTGTTGTAAAGCAAGCAAAACAAATTTGATTGAAACCACACACATCTCAATGCTACAAATAAAACCATAATCCAAAATATATCAATACACAGGCCAGGTTACGCTTTCAATATACCGAGAGTTGATGGGTTCCAGGAATGTTATGCTATTTTCAAACACTCTCCTTCCATGAAACGGCATTCTTAACAATACAGGAAAATTAGTGAAACACTTAGTAGGAGATAGACCTTAATGAGAAAACAGTATTCGGTGTGCATCCTTTTTATTATCACTACTCCCAAACACCTTAAAAAGAAATACCTTATAGAATACTTAAAAAGAAAATTAGATAGTTTCAAACAGGTACCTTTTCATTTATTTTATTTTATTTTTTTTACCACTTCCCCCTCTCCCTGTCAGAGCTAACCTCCTAGGCAAGTTTTTTGCATTTTTATGTCTCAAGGAATCCATGGCCTTATCTCAAAGAATGTTCAACTGAGTAACCCATGGAATCGCTTTTCTCCATCAGTGTTGCTAGATGTGAAAAATCTAAAATGCCTACATATATAAACCAATGGGGCTTCTGTCTCTAACAATATTCCAAAGTAGGTATCTAGAAGAACCCGGAAATAGTGGATATAATTTTAAAAATAATAATAATCCATTAACATGGGCTGCCTTCAGGGGAAATCCTTAAAGGCCAGAAATACCAAGAAAGCTCAAAGCCAGAGAGATAAGCCAGTAATGAAGCAGGCATTTCAACAGGAGGCTGCTGGGAAAACAGATAAACTGTGGGATCCAAACAGGGTGGAGAGGAGATCAAAGTCCACAGAGGTTATTAGGGGAAAAAACACCAGGCAGATGGAGACAGCAGGGACACTGGCCCCTCTCATCCTTGCCTCTGGGTAGAATGGAAATACCTACAAGTATTTCGCTGGAGGATTCTTATCAACAGGCCTGTGCTCACAAAGGTTAGGGACTGAAATTCATATTATGGATATGACCACGCATGCCCCAAAACACTGCAGCCCAAAGGGGTTCTGCTCTGGTAGTACCCAAGTGCACAGAGGTAGAGGCCAATTCTCTCCAAGGAACTCAGGCTTCAAAGGACCCTCAAGATACGCATTTGAGGAACATGAGTCCACGATTTAAACACAAACACCGAGCAAGTCTCCATGACTGAGAGTTAAAAGAAACAAAAAAACTGCAGAATCAAATATAGTAAATACTGGAAATAACCAGTCACAGATGGAAAAAAAAAAGTATATTAAATACGCATCACGTTTACCAAAGGAAATTAAAAGGGGATATTGAAAGTATAATGACAGAACAAGAGACCAGCAAAAATGACCAAGCAAATCTGAAAAAAAAAAAAGCAAATAAAATTTGTGGAATTAAAAAAACACAGTTATTGAAATTAGATAAAACATAGCTTTAAACCACATAGTACACACAGGTAAAGACACTCACTAATGACTTGGGAGGCAGATGTGAAGAAATTCCCCAGAATGCAAGTACAAAGCTTTAGAGAAGTGAAATATATGAAAGAAAAGAGTAAGAAAGTCTTACAGTAGAAATCTCACTGCTGAAAAATATACAGGGGCTTGAGAGCAGCAGCAGCTAGACAGAAGAGATAACTAGGAAAAGGACAATTAGAATAAGAGCTAACGTCTAAACAGCAGTAATATAAGCCCGAAGTCAGTAGAATGTCTTTAAAACAATATCTGTTGATTTAGAGGGCAGAAAAGAATTTTTTTAAATCGCATAAATTAGCCCTGAGCTAATGTGGCTCAGTGGGTTGGGCGTCATACTGCAAATCAAAAGGTTACCGGTTCAATTCCCAGCCCGGGCACAGGTCTGGGTTGTGGGCCAGGTCCCCGTTTAGGGGTGTGCAAGAGGCAACCACACATTGATGTTTCTCTCTCACATCCATGTTTCTCTCCCTCTCCTTCTCCTTCCCTTCCTCCCTCTCTAAACGTAAATAAATCTTTTAAAATCACAAAAATTAGGATAGATTATTTACTGTAAGCCGCCAAAAAAATAATTTCCAAAGGATACATTTAGGAAGGAAGGAAAATAATCCTGGAAGGAAGACCTAAGATACAAGAAGAAATGTGAGTAAGCCTGAACACATATTGCCTGTAGGCACCTATTATAATGTATAATTTGTGAGAGTTAAACAAATAAATAGAACTACAAGCACTGGGCAACAGAGCATGTAAATCCTGAAGACTTTTATATGATCAAATTATTCTAAATGTTTTATTCAGGAGCACAGCTAAACTGCTGATTAATTTTAAGCTTCACTGAGTTAAATCTACATGCTAAAATTTCTGGGGTGAACACTACAGAAATAATCAGAGTCCATAAGTTTGAAAATAGCAGAGGGAAAAATAAAGTGAAAAAGAAAACAAACTCTTAGGCTTGGGGGAAAAGCAGCTCGTCACAAAAGGCAATTCTATCAACTGACATATTGGCAGATCATACTTTCCTTTTGATGGAAAAGGGTTAGGCAAGGGCAATTTTGTTTGCACAGCAGAAAGGTAAACCGGCTTGCTCTTAAGTAGATATAACCAATTACTCAAATTGAAAGGAATTTAAAATCATTAAGTCCACCCCCCACACACTCAGTTTTGGAACATTTCCGTAGCTAACGCCATCTGGCTCCAAGAGACCAGAATTCTCTTTAAAAATTAAACATTAAAAAAATAGAATTCTAATCACCTTTGCAGGTAAAAAGGAAACATAAAATGGTACCTGGAAAAGGTAAGAGCTAGGATCTGTGCTATATGTTTATGGCTCACTCAGTCACTTTTGTTCCTATCTCTGAGAACAGAGGTAGGCACACAGCAGGAACTCAAAGGTTTTCTTTTCAGTAAACCAAGAGGTGGATACACTATCATTCAGCACTCAACTAGCAGGACAATTAAAGGGATATCTACCACATTCAGTGGCCCTCCGTTGCTTCGATGGCACACTTGAGGTGGTTAGGCTGCAAATTCAGGTGCCTCTGGTAGGGTGTTCTAAGTGCTCTGTACAGCCACTCCTCTCTGGAATGTCATTGCTTATGTCTAAATCAGCATTTTCCAACACGTAACCGCATGCAGGTCCAGCTGCCTGCAGCTACAAAAGCCAATACTCAAGAGGCAGGTGCTGATGTAAAGGAAAGTGGTTTATTTTCAGGCGCCAGCCACCTGGAAGATGGGGGACTCATATCACAAAGCCCATCTTCTGGGGAGACGGGGGACACACTTCGCAAAGCCCATCTCCTGGGAAGATGGGAGACTCACATCTTAAAGCCCACCTCCACATCTCAGTGGAGGCGGAGGTTGTGATGAGGAGGGAGAGGGGGATGGAACACAGAGGTCAAGAGAGGGGGTTGAAAAGTTCCCTACGTGCAGGCCAGCACAGTCCACTCCGATAAGGCAAGTGATAGTCAGTGTGCATCACCCTGGTTTAGTCATCGGCTTCACGTCATCCTGATCTTAGATTATCCTGACTTCAAGGTTGGAGGTCAGCATTTCTCCTAGAGCGGGGATGCCTGAAGGTTGGGGTCAGTGTCCTCTGAAGGTAGTTCCCAGGATTCTTATCCCAACACGGTGTTCATCTGCAAGCTACATACTAGTCAAGAGTCCGCACTTACAGAAGCAACGTCAAAAGAACGGTGGGGTGGGTTACAACTTGCCACTGTTACAGTTTTCCACTGTTACAAACATGTGCCAGTTTAACATAAGCTTTTCAAAATTGTAATAAACTTTTCTATTTTTTTTTAAAAAGTTTTCTTAAAGTAAAATAGTAAGCAGAAACACGATCAGAATTGATCCTCCTTTTCCATTTCCACAGAACACCTCCCAACGGCGTAGCACCTCCAGGTTTGGACATGCCCTTAGTAAACCAATCCACTGCTACCTGGAAATAACCTCACTCGCATGAGTGCTTTTCCAGGTTCACCTTCCCAGCACCTGACTATACTTTAAAGCTGGCAAATGTCAACGAAGTCTATTGTTCTGGAAGTTGTGGTAAAATAAATACAGTAGCCAACACTTCTTTAAATGTAGTTATTTCTTCACACATTAAGAAAAAAAATCAGACAGCCCCTTCCCCAAAATACTTATTTCAAAAACCATCAGGGCTCTGGCTGGTGTAGCGCAGGTGGTTGGAGAGCTGTGACGTAAACAGAAAGGCTGCAGGTTTGATTCCTGCTGAGAGCACATGCCTGGGGTGCAGTCCCCAGTTGGGGCATGTGTGAGGGGCAGCCGATCCATGTTTCTCTCACACATCAATGTTCTCTCCCTTCCTCTCCCTCCGTTTCCCTCTCTTTCAGATCAATGAGCATGTCCTCAGGTAAGGGGAAAAGGGTAATAATAATAAATTTTAAAAATAAGAACCATCAGGAAAAACTAAGCAATACCACGACAACCACCCCTAGGATTAAGCAATGCTATGGGGTTAGGAGGGCCACAAGTGTCCGAAAAGGGAGTGATATTTAAGTAAAATGAACCAACACAGTGAAATAAATGGGCACTGAAAGTAATTATTTAACTTCCTCCAATTTTTTAAAAACTTGTTTTCATCATAGTGACTGTGTTTCCAATTAAAGAGAGTGTTTTTTTCTGGTCTGTCCACTGTTGGTGGAAGTGGTGGGAACATAAATTAGTGCAAACCTTCCAACAGGGAAATTACTAATATGTATCAAAATATAAGATCTGCATATCCCTTGATCAATCAACCCCACATCTAGAAGTTTATTCTACAGAAATATTTGCACAATTGCGCAAAGACATACATATAAATTTGTTTACATCTGCTTATAATTTTTAAAATAATCCTGAAATATCCAATAATAGAGGAGCAGTTACATATATGTATATACAGAGACCTATATTTAAATGTCTGTTGGGGGGATCAAGATACAAAACATCATTGTTTTCACTCCTATTTATATATATATGTGTGTGTGTGTGTGTATATATGTGTGTATATATATATATGAGCTTATATGGAAATGACTAGAAGAATAA